TGGAGAAATCAGAACTCTCTGTGGGTGGGAATGTGAATGTGATATGGCACAGCCATGTTAGGCAGCTCTTCCTATGACCCAGTAACTCCACATCTAGGTATATACTTCCCCAAATAAAAATCTATGTCCACACAAAAACTTGTACACTAATGTTATGTTCATAACTTTTTTCCATCATAGCTGAAAAGAGGAAAGAACCCAAATGTCCATCAACCGATGCATGGATAAAGTGTGGTTATCCATACAATGGGCTATTATTTGGCAATAAAAAATACTGACACATGCTATAACGTGATTAAACCCTGAAAGCATTATGCTAAGTGAAAGAAGTCAGACACAAAGGACCACGTATTGTATGATACCATTTATAGGAAATGTCTAAAACTGCACGCCTAAGAGCAGAAAGTAGATCAGTGGTTGTGTGGGAGCGGGGCAAGTGTTCAGGGAAAATGGAGCGGGACAGCTTGTAGGTATGGGGTTTCCTTTTTGAGATAATGAAAATGTTCAAAAATTATTTTGGTGATGGTCACACAACTCTGTGACTATACTAAAAACAACTGTATACTTCGAGCTAGTGAATTGTATGTTCTGTGAATTATATCTCAATGAAGTTGTTTTAAAAACTAACAAAAATATTGCAACCTCGTGGAAATGTTACTAGTGGAGTTGGGTACCATCAGAAAAGATCTACAGGATTCAAGTGTGCCTATAATATGTTCATTTAATCCTCTAGTCTGACCCCTGCAGAAACCAGATAGACCCTGGAGAATGACTTTACCTGTAAGGTCAACCAAGAAATAGCCCTAGTCGCTTGCTGGTTCCTGGATACAAGGAGCCCCAAGTGCTCTCACAGCTGCCATGGACTGGTTTGATAGGACCCCTGCACTCTCCCCTACAAAGTGTGGGACTTGGACCTCTAACTCAGCAGAGCCGAGGAGCAGGGAAGAGAAGCTCAATCTTCCACTGGGTCTTTGGCAGTAAACGGGGCCACTCTGCTCCTACTCCTTTGCTCCTGGACCCATGCATACTTTCTGTTGCAGACACAGCCTCATCCTGAGGTCTCTGGGATAATGAATGAACTGGCTCCCCATCTTCGTAGAGGACTGCTCAGTGATTGGTGCTTCAATTGTGCCCTTAGCCATTCCAGCTCCCTGAGGCTGCCTGCCAGCTCCCTGAGGCTGGTTTGGGTGGTGTGGTGGGTGATGTGACCAACAGATCCCATGGCCATGGACTCATTCCTGCACCTCCTTCTCTGTGAACTGGGACTCCTGGAAGCATAACATGTTGTGTGGATTTCCATCCCTATGGAACACACATTCTGGAAGCCCCAGACAGTTGTGCTGGCTGAGGTTTTGCAGATAGGAAAGACAAACCCAGACCCAGAAGTAAACTGAGGACATATTTCTGGCCCTATCAGAATAGAAGGGATCCAATTTAGTAAAACTTACCACAAATTGGTTATGGTCATGAGGGTTAATGAATGGTCTGCAGTTATACCTTCTTATAAAGTATTTTGTTATCAAGGTAACGCCGGCTTCATGAATGAATTGGGACACGTTCCCTCCTATTGTACTTTCAGAAAGATATTATATAGAATTGAAATTATTTAATTCTTAAATGTGTGGTAGAATTTAACAGAGAAACCATCTGGGCCTGTAGTTTTCTATGTTGGAAGGAAGGTTTTTTAACTTTAAATGCAATTTCTTTAAAAGACAGAATTTTTCAGGTAATTTATTTCTTCTTAGAATTTTGGTACTATACATCTTTAAAGGAATTGGCCCATTTCATCTAAGTTACTGAATACAAAATTCGTGCAAGGGGTTTGGCCCTCGCAGCCGTGGTGGCTTGCCTAGGCCCTCGCAGCTCCCGCTTCATTTGGAAGGTCATCCGGAAGGACGTCCGGAAGGTCCTTTGGCTGTCTGGTCTAATTAACATATTACTTTTTTATAATTATAGATGGGCACAGAGTTGTTCATAGTATCCTGTGCTATCCATTTAATGTCTATAGACTTTAGAATGATGCTACTTTCTAGGTGGAAATTTAGATGAATGGTTTAAGACCTTTCTTCTTTTCTAATGTATTTAATGCTATTTTTCCCTCAAAGCAATGCTTTAGTTATATTCTACAAATTTTGATGTTGTATTTTTATTTCATTCTGTTAAAATATTTTTTTAATTTCCCAGGAGATTCTTCGCTATACCATGAGTTACTTAGATGTTGTTTAACTTCCAAATATTTGGGGATTGTACAGATATTTTTATGTTATTGAATCCTACTTAAATTATGTCATAGTTAAATACCATACTTTGCATGATTTCTATTCTTTTAAAATTGTTAAGGTTTAGTTGTTAGCCTAGCTTACTTGGCAAATTTTGAAAAGACTACAGTCTGCCATTGTTGTTGGGTTAGAGAGCCTATAAATGTTCAATTAGGTTAAACTTATTTGATAATGTTGTTCGGCATTTCTATATTTTTACTGAATTCTTTCCGTCTACTTCTACTGTCTCTCAAACTGAGATGGTATTGGATTCTCCAAGTATCATAGTCTATTTGACAATTTCTCCTTTCAGTTCTATCATTTATTGCTTTACAATTTTGAAGCACTGATGTAGGCACACATACAGAATTGTTACGGCTCCTTGATGAATTTGCTCTGTTTTTTATTTGTTGTTGGCCTTTTGGCTATATCTCTTTAGTGTTTTTTAGTAATTACACTAGTAATTACAATGTACATACTTAATCTTTCATGGTCTACTTAAAGTTAAAACTGAACCACTTGAAGTAAAATGTAGAAGCCCTACAACCAAAAACACCCTTTTATGTTATGGTTGTAATGTGCATTACAACTATATAAATGAAAAACCCTACCAATGCTATAATTTTTGCTTTCACTAGCCATACATATTTTAAAGAACTCAAGAGAAAATATAGCCTACTATAACCACAGATATCTACTATTTCTGTTTCTTTTCCTTTGTTTCTGAAGTCTTAACTTTATCTTTGATATTAATTACCTTTAGCCTAAATAATTTCTTTTAGCATTTTCTTTAGCGCAAGTGTGCTGGCAATAAGTTATCTTATTTTTCAAATACCTTTATCATTTCAAATACCTTTATCAAGGATATTTTTTAAAAATACAGAATTCTGAGTTGACTGTTCTTTTTTCCTTTACTACCTTAATTATACAGTGTTATCATAATTTCTGATGAGAAATGCATTGTTCCCCAATGCATAATGTGTCATTTTTTCTGTCTACTTTCAAGATTTCTTCTTTTTCTTTTATTTTGGCAATTTCATTATGTGTCTGAACCTGGTTTTCTTTGCCTGTACTGAAACGGGGTTTCATTGAATTTCTTTCATCTATAAAAGCATGTCCTTCTCCAAATTTGGAATTTTTTGGCCATTATTTCTTCAAATTTTTTTTCTACCAGTCTTTTTCCTCATTTGAGACTTCAAAGACTCAAATATTAGACTCTTTTATATACTATCTACAGATTCCTCTGGCTCTACTAATTTTTTTGAATATTTGTTTTCTGCCTTTCAAATTAGATCATTCCTATTGATTATTTTCACATTCACTGATTTTTTTCACTGTTATCTCTATTTGTTATTAAGCTTATCTAGTGATTTTTAAAATGTCACAGATTCTGTTCTTAAATTTTAATATTTCTATTTCATTCTTTTCTATAGTTTCTATTTATTTGCTGGGAATATCCATCTTTCCACCAATTATAAAAGTGTTTTCCTTTACATCATGGAGTTATAATGTAATAGCTGCTTTGCAGGGTTTTATGGATAATTCCAATGTCTGGGTCATTTTGGGACTGGCATTTATGGATGTCTTTTCTCTTGAAAATTGGTCTTATTTTCATGGTTTGTTGTATATAAAATAATCTTGTTGATATTTTGAATATTACGCTTTGACATTGGATCCTGCTAAAATCCTTAATAATTTTATAGATGTGTACATTGAATGGCCAGATTATTATGATCTCTGAATGCATAATAATCTACCCAATCTGTATCTCCTATATAATAAAAGGCTAATATGTAAATTGTCCCCTTGACCAGGAGCTTGACCAGCAGGCAGGCTGGCCAACCGCCCATGTCCCCTCCCCCTGGCCAGGCTGGCCGCACCCCACCCAGGCCCTAATTCATGCACTGGGCCTCTAAAATACACACACACACACACACACACGCACGCACGCACGCACGCACGCACACACACACGCACGCACGCACACACACACGCACGCACGCACGCACACACACACACACACACGCACACACACGCACACACACACACACACGCACGCACGCACGCATGCAGACACACACCACACAAGCACACACACACACACACTGAGTAGCCAGATTATTATGCATTCAGGGATCATAATAATCTGGCCACTCAGTGTATAGCATCAGGTTAAGGACTCTGACAGATATGCATAAGGAGACATTCTCAGGTTGAGGGGCCTCCTGAGGAGCCTGGAGTAACTGCTGACTGCAGTTTGCTCTTAAGGTTTAATGAGTTAGTGCGCGGGAGAAGGCAGGAATGTGCATGAACGGTGTAAACGAAGAAATGTATCCACTTATTGGCATGCCCTTATCATCTCTTGCCTGGTCAGTCTATTTAATAAATAACTAGAGAGACACAAATATTGATTCATCTTTAAAGGAAAACCATCAAAATGTGATAAATTAGAATAAAACTACCATATAGTCTCTAAATCACAATTAAACTAGAATAAGGTAATTCCAAGTTTACAATAATCTTTTACCCCTTCTTTCCCTTACCTTGCATATATGGTTTTCGTAATAAAATAAATGGCTCCAGGACCATGTACTCTTGGGAATACCTAGATTGAACTTTTAAATATTTAAAAATCTAGGTGAATTCTTATAAGATACATTTTCTAATATCATAAGTGAGAAGTTACTCTAACCTATTAAGAAAAAAATGTGCTGTTTTGATGAAATAAAAATGCATACTTACTTTGAATAATATTTCTTCATTCCATTTTGGATTCAAAGTCTGAAAGACAGTAAACATAGTATAATTAATTTTTTATATTTTGTCATATGAATTTAAAATAGTATATTTAATTTTTTTTTTTAAGTCCTGCTAAGTCTGACCTTTTTAATGGTTTTCGTCTGCACACTTGTTAAAATTCCATTCATTGGGTCATATAACGTCACTCTCACATAAGGATCACTGTTAAAATTAGGAAAAAAGATTAATTGTTGCATATTCCCAAACTTAAGATATTCAAACTATTAAAAAAATCACAGAAATTTCCTTTTTAACAATTTCTATAATTATTTCCTACAATTAAAAGTAAGGTTTCCTTAGGCAGGAGTAAGTAATTATCGTAATTTTTGCATCTTGTTAAAATGCTAAGGTACCACGTTAGGGAAATACACAAAGAATTAAAAAATTACAAAGAATATCATTTAGTCCCAATTTAATTATTTGGAATCTTTTTAGATTTAACTTTTTTTGTGTGTGTGTTTATTATGTTCTTTGGGTTAAAATGGTTAATTCATTAATTTTTAAGAACTAGCCCTGCAAGACCTCAGGTCATTCCAAGTTATCTCATGGGTATAAACTCTTTTTACAAAATAAAGGCAAAGTGCTTTCAGTTAAAAATAATTATGTCCTATAACCTCTTTTACAAAGAATTGTGGAGAAGGACGCCCTGGCCAGTGTGGTTCGATTGGTTAGAGCATCCTCTCATGAACCAAAGAGTTGTGGGTATGATTCCTGGTCAGGGCACATACCCAGATTGTGGATTCAACCCCCAGTTGAAAAAAAAAAAAAAAAAAGAAAAAAAAAAAAAAGAAAAAGAAAAAAAAAAGATGAGGAGGACAATCAAGATTTTTCCCATTTTTGAATTGGCCTTTTTATCATATTATTAAAGAGTTGTAAGAGCTCTTTATATATTTGAATTATAGGCCTTTGTCAGATATAAGTTTTGAAACTTTATTGATCATTTCAAAGAACAAGTTTTAGGTTACAATAATTTTTCCTATAATTGTCCATTTAACTAATTCCACTTTATCCTTATTAGTTTCATCCTTCTACTTATTCTAAAATTAACCTGCTCTTCTTTTTCTAATTTCTTAAAATTAGAACTCAAATCATTCACTTAGGTCCTATTCCTTTTCTAAGTTAAACATTTTAAAAATCTCAACTTTCCTCTAAATATATAGCTGCACTCTACAAATTTTGATATTGCTGTATTTTCATTTTTGTTCTGTTGAAAATGTTTTTTTAATTTTTTTGTGATTTCTTCTATAGATTATTTTGTGATCTATAGATTATTTAGAAGTATATTGTTTTAATTCCAATAAGTGGTATTTTTCTAGATATCTTAATGTTATTGGTTTCTAACATAATTCCATTGTTATCAGAGAACATCCTGCATATACTTTCAATCTTTCCAAAATGGAGACTTGTCTTTTAGCTTTATACATGGTCTACATTGGTGAATGCATCGTGCACTTGAGAAGAATGTGAAATTTGCAATTGTTTGAGTTATTGTTTATGGCGGTCATAGTCTGGGGTAGTTTCTATTATCCCCATGTCCTAATGTCCATGCCCTTATGTTACACTCCTCTTAAATGTGGGAAGGACCTATGAATTCTAATCTATACATTGCAGGAAAATGACAAAATGTATATAACTGCCAGCCAACTTCCTGGTCCCTCACCCCAACTGGCAGGGAAGTGGGGTGGCAGTGAACTCGGCAGCACCAGGCCAAGGCGGGTGTAGTAGGGGGCAGGGCCAGTTGCCATTAGCTGGGGGAAGCCTGAGTGTCAGATGCCAGCAGCTGGAGGGAAGCCCTGGTCCTGAGTGCCAGCAGTCTGAGCAGAGCCTGGGTCCTGGATGCTGGCAGCCAGGGGAAGGAAGGCCTACCTTGCACAAATTTTGTGCATAGGGGCTCTAGTGAGATAATAAATGTGTATTCTTTTAAGCTGCTAAGTTTGTGATCATCATAACAGATAAACCATCTGGGGAAGAAAGCACCCTGTGCACACAGCCAGAGGCTGCACCGCCTGTGCCCTGGAACCTGGGTCTGGCCCTTGCCCCTCCATGGTGCCCAAAAGGGACAAGTGAGGGCTGTCCAGCGTTAGCACAATCAAGGATGTAAATAGGTGTGAGGGACCAAAACCGGTTTGGCTCAGTGGATAGAGTGTCGGCCTGTGGACTAAAGGATCCCGGGTTTGATTCCAGTCAAGGGCATGTACCTTGGTTGCAGGCACATCCCCAGTTGGGAGTGTGCAGGAGGCAGCTGATCGATGTTTCTCTCTCATTAATGTTTCTGGCTCTCTATCCCTCTTGTTCCTCTCTATAAAAAAAAAAAAAAATCAATAAAACATATTTTTAAAAAATAGGTGTGAGGGGAACCATGCTCAGGGTGCTGCTCCCTGCTCCTCCCTCCTGGCTTCGGAACCAGCAGCACAGGAAAGCAGTCAGCCCCAGGCAGTCCTTCCCATCTCTGTGATCCCCGGGCTGCTGCCCTCCAAAGAGGGGGCACAGGGCAGGGTGTGTGTTCATCCCCTTCTCTGGATCCATCCGGGCCCTTTATTCACCGACTGCCCACAGCCTATCTTATGATGCCCAGAAGCAGAAATCATAAATGTATCTTATGAGTTGTACTTTTGTTTGTCTAATTTCACAAATTCAATAATTCGGATATGAAGGAATTCAGTAAACCACCAATTAAAAATATTATTATTCTATCTTGGACAACTATTTAATAATATTATTCAATGTTTCATCTAACCAACATTTAGAAAAAAAAATTAGTTGAGTACAAGCTTTAATATCGCAACCCATATTAATGTATTAATATACTCACCTAGATCCTAAGATATCCTTCTTGGCAAGACCTATTCCAGCTATAACTTTCACCCTCACAATTCGAACATTTTCCTAAAATATAAAAATGCGTATTTTATTTTCATGTACTTTATAACTTATCTAAGACATATACCTTTAAATATATACATCAAATACAGTAACCAGCCTGGTCGGCATAGCTCAGTGGTTGTGTGTTGACCTATAAACCAGGAGGTTCAGGTTAAATTCCCAGTCAGAGCTCATGCTCAGATTGTGGCTTCAATCTCTATTATGGGGTGTGTAGGAGGTTATCGATCAATGATTCTCTCATGTAGCAGGATACAAAATTAACACCCAGAAATATATGGCCTTTTAATACACTAATAATGAACTCACAGAAAGAGAAAGGACAAAAAAAAAATCCCATTTACCATTTCACCAAAAAAATTAAGATACCTAGGAATAAACTTTACTAAGGAGGTAAAAGATCCATACTTGGAAAACTACACGACATTGAAAAAAGAGTTAGAGGAAGACCTAAACAAATGGAAGAACATACCATGTTCATGGATTGGTAGAATCAACATCTTTAAAATGTCCATACTACCTAAAACAATCTACAGAATCAATGTAATCTCTATTAAAATATTAATAGCATATTTCAAAGATCTAGAACTCTCCAAAAATCCATCTGAAATAAAAAAGACCCCGAATGGCCATAGCAATCCTGAGAAAGAACAAAAAAGTTGGAGCGATCACAGTACCAGATATCAAGTTATATTAGCAAGCCATGGTTCTCAAAACTGTTGGTACTGGCACAAGAACTAAAACCTAACCTCCTCAGACTATTCCAAAAATTCAAGAAGAAGGCACTTCCAAACTCTTCCTATTAAGCCAGCATTACCCTAATCCCAAAACCAGATAAAGATACCACACACACACACACACACACACACACACACACACACACACAAAGAGAATTACAGGCCAATATCCGTGATGAACACAGATGCTAAATTCCTCTGTCCTTTGTGTTCTGTGTTCTGTGTCAATCGAACAGAACACGGAACACAGCAATTGACTGAGACCATTATACTCAATTAATATTTGACAAAGGAGTCAAGAGCATACAATAAAGTCAAGACAGTATTTTCAATAAATGGTGCAGAGAAATTTGGTCAGATACATGCAAAAAAAAAAAAAAAAAAAGAAAGAAACTAGATCACTAACTTACACCATACACAAAAACAAACTCAAAATGGCTAAAGGACTTAAATGTAAGATAGGAAACCATAAAAATCCTACCAAAATCCATAGCAGCAAATAGCAGATCTGTTAGCAGCAAAATAGCAGACATTTGTTGTAGCAATATCTTTACCGACACAGCTCCTGGGGCAATGGAGACTAAGGAGAAATTAAACAAATGGAACTACATCAAAATAAAAAGCTTCTGCACAGCAAAAGAAGCCATCAACAAAATAACAAGAAAGCCCACTGCATGGGAGAACATATTTGCCAATGATATTTCAGGTAAGGATTTAATTTCCAAAATTTACAAAGAACGCACACAACTTAACAAAAGGAAGATAATAATCCAATCAAAAAACAGACAAAGGAACTAAATAGACACTTTTTGAAAGAGGACATACAGAAGGCCAAGATATATATGAAAACATGCGCTAAGTTACTAATCATTTGAGGGATGCAAATCAAAACAACAATGAGGTACCATATCACACCTGTCAGAATGGCTATCATCAACAAATCAACAAATGACAAGTGCTGGCAACGATGTGGAGAAAAAGGAACCCTCGTGCACTGATGCTGGGAATGCAGACTGGTGCAGCCACTGTGAAGAACAGTATGGAGTTTCCTCAAAAAATTAAGAATGGAACTCCCATTTGACCCAGTAATCCCACTTCTAGAGCTATTATAATATATCCAAAAAAAAACAGAGACACCAATCAGAAAAGATATGTGTACCCCTATGTTCATAGCAGCACAATTTACAATAGCTAAGATTTGAAAACAATCTAAATGCCCATCAGCAGATGAGTGGATAAAAAACAGTGGTACATCTACACTATGGAAAACTATGCTGCTACAACAAAGAAGGAACTTTTACCATTTGCAATAGCATGAATGGAAATGGAGAGCACTATGCTAAGCGAAATAAGCTAGTCGGAGAAAGATAAATATCACATGATCACACTCTTATGTGGGATTAATGATCAACATAACTTGATGAACAAGAATAGATCCAGAGATAAATGGAAGGGGAGAGGAGTTAGAGAGCCACCAAGGGATTTTTATGCATGCATATTAGCATAACCAATGGACACAGACACTGGGACTGTAGAGGCTTGCGCAGGGTGGGAATGGCTGGGCAAAGGGGAAGTGAGATGAAAGGAAGGGGGCGTCAATTGGGGAAAAAGGAGACATGTGTAACTTTAGACAATAAATAAATTTTAAAAATAATAAAATTAAATTAAAAAAATAAAAAGGATGTATGTTTGAAATGAAAAAAAATTTTTTTTATAAGAAACCAAAGAAGCCCAGTTGGCCTGGCTCAGTGGTTGAGCATCAACTGATGAATCAGGAAGTCATGGTTAAATTCCTGGTCAGGGCACATGCCCAGGTTGCAGGCTTGATCCCCAGTGGGGGCATGCAGGAGGCAGCCAATCAATGAATCTCATCATTGATGTTTCTATCTCTTCTCCCTTCTTCTCTGAAATCAATAAAAAACATTTTTTAAAGAAGTTGAATATTCTAACATTGGGTAGGGAAGAATTTTTAAAACTACAAACCCTAGTTAGAAAAACTGTTAGATTTTACATTAAAATTATATCCCTTTTGTATGATAAAAGATGCCATGAGCAAAATGAAAAGTCAAGGGAACAAACAGGGTGAAAGTATCTAAAATATGTACCATTGGCAAATTATGATTATCCGGAATAAACAATTTCTAAAAAGCAATAAATGAAATATAAACAACCTAATACAAGAAGTCAAAGGGAATGGCCAATAAACACATGAAAAGATCCTCAATCTCACCAGTCATTCATCAGAGAGAATGTCATACACTGTAGGGAGAAGTGTAAATTGAAGAGTCATTTTAAAGAGATATTTGGGAATATTTACATCAATAACCTAGGAATTCCACTTTTACATATATCCACTAGATAAACACTTATTCATGTACTCAAAGGCATCGGCACAAGAGTGTTCACAGTAGCATTTATAAGATAAAAAAATACAAAATAAATGTTGCTCAACAGATATCTGAATCTATTCTAAAATTATCCCACCTTAGTCATATTCCCTTCTGGGAAGAGGTCTGGGTGGGAGAAAATATAGGGTCTCCCAAAAAATGTATACACACATTTTTAATAATTATAAAGATAGTGTTTATTAAAATACATTTCATTTTCAAAATTGAACTATCAGCTGTTAAAGTGTATATACACTTTTGGAAGGACATCCTGTATACATACATAAAGCATTTATTTCAATCTTCTTCCATTTCTAAATATTTAAAACCACCCTCATTCCTGAAGCTTACATGGAAAAAAATATAATAATTGAAGTAATCTATTAGCTCCCAAACTCAGATGATAAATTTAGATAGCACAAAAATCCTTAACTAAAGATGTCAGATAAAATACAACTTTCTCTATCCCTGATTAAAACTAAATATACAGCCGATCTTATTATACAGTAGCTAGGTATCAGAAATAAAGATAGGATTGAAAACCAGACAGGAAAATGTAAACTGAAATTTCAGTTTTTTACGGGGATTGATTTGCAAGAATCTGAAGACTTTCAGATAACCTTTTTTCCCTGGAACGTCACTGAAAATATAAACCCATGAACGTATTCTATTGGCCAACTTATCACTATCCCATTTGGCTAGGAAGTGGCTATTCTTTATTAAACAGGCTACTAATTTCAAGACTGAATTCTGAAAACTAGAAATAGGTTTTGTAGTGAGAACTTGTACAAACTTTTTCCAGTCATAAAGTATAATCAAAAGTGGCATCAGATTAGTCAACAATATTGTAAATAACTACGGATGGTGGCAAGTGGGTACTTAAAATATTGGGAGATGGGGACACTTTTTAAAGTATATGATTGTCTCACCACCATGTTGTACACCTGAAACTAATACAACAAAATAATGTTGAATGCAACAAAAAGTGCTATCAGCAAATACATGCTATTTGATCATCTTAGCTTTTCTAAGTGTAGACAAGTATTTATAATTTGTATATGAACTTGAAAATGAACCCATATTTGTGGAGCCTCTACTGAAACTGTCTCCCAGAAGTCTCCAGAGGAAAAACATAACAAGCATTCATTAAAAACAACTCCAGGAAATGATAAATTACTCACAGTAACAGTTTAATTTTTCAACTTTCTCCTTGCATTTCCCACCACAAAAATCAGAACGAATTATATTAGATGCTATGGTTAACTGATGTGAAATTATGCTGTTTTAAGATTCTTTCATAAAAATTAAATAAGAAATGCTTTTTATTTTTATATTTGTATTCATTTAACTTCATTTTGTAAGTTTAGCTAGAAAAGTGTTCAAACTGATCTCTTCTAGCACACCCATCAACAGAGATGACATTTCCCATCATTTTTTAAAATGAAGAAAAAGGGCATAAAAGCTGCAACGTTAGAATCATGATACTAAAAGTACTATTAACAGAAATCTGGATAGTGCTCAAATGATCAAAAGAGAAACAAAAATAAAGCAGCGTTATCTTTAAACAGATCACCATCACTGTTCTTCACTAAAGCTGGAATCCTCCCTTCCACTCATAAGAGAGTTTTACTGATGTATGAAAGTGAGAGAAGTTACAACTTGGCAAACATATGTATGCGGCTTTTCTCAAGGACTTGGTGAAATAAAATGTCAATGTGTTATCTGTACAAACAGATTCAGTAATTAAAAGCAGCTTTCCAGGCTGAGATTTTCTCCACTATTCATAAAAACAGCGACTCCCTGCTCCTTAATCTTCTGTCAATAACCCCCTCCAAAAAATAGAATCAGGAATAGGAAAGGCAAGAGCTTAGGTCTTCCCATC